AAGTTTTTCTGAGCATATTTAGCAGCACAGTCATGGGCATGTAAATCTGTTGATGCCGATACAGCATTTTTGCAAGATTGAAAAATTCAGACAGAAGTATTTTTAAAGCCTTTGAAACAATCTGGAGATACGGAAGGGAAATTATTGAGGTTAAACAATGGCATACAAGAGATAAATGAAGCAGACAACATGTAGTATTTTTCACTTAGGCCTGCCTTGCTAAAAACAGTTGTATTTTGCTAAAGGCAGAATCAGCAATGTTTTGTTGGAACTGTGAAGAAAGGCTAGAAAGTACTTCCTTAATGATCTGAGGCATTGGAAAAATTAGTGATGGGTAAAATTATAAGGGAATTCAAACTTGGAATTTTCATGCCTCATGAGCTTTTAAAACGTTAATGTTTGGTATGAGACAGACTAAGTGGGGAATAGCCTGAAATCAACAGACCTACCGAGAAAATGTTAATAGGATCTCAATAAATCCGGCCAGATCCAGGTAAAAAAGAACTCTACAAGCAAGAAAGAAGCATATCTGTTGAGAAGGTTAATTTGGCAATTAGAGTGGTTAGATGTCTTATAATCAACCTGTTCAGAGCAGGTGAGATTGAACCTGTGCTTGTTAGCTCAGAGGAAGGCAAGTGCTCTTGCATTCTCAGAACCCTCCAGCAAGCATTTGTTTAAAGTAACTGCAGTAATATGGCAGGATTCAAACCAATGCAGGGATACCCTAATGGATTTCTAACGCATCACCTAAACCACTCGGCCACTATATGCAATCAACATAGATCAGTAACTTGTGAGATAATGCATTAGAATTCACACCATATTACAATGTGTTACTGTTAAAGAAGGGCTGAAGACAAATAAGATGTTGAAGAAGTTAAATTTAGAGCAATGTACACTCAGATTCCCAGTCTCGGCTTCAGCCATCAATGAAATTAATAATGCCTCGCATGCTAGTCTTCTCATTGATTATTCAAGTACGGCAGGATATCTTTAGTGGGAAGAAATGTTTGTTAACTTGGACATTGATAAAAATGGAAAGACTAGATAAAAGTAATTTAGCTGTGGAAACACTTGCAGTGGGAGACGTGAAAGGTTTGGCTGTGTATTTATCAAGAATTTTAAGGGCTTTCCATTATGGGAAGCAATCAGAAAACAATTTGCCTATTGAATTCTATAATTGATAGTCATTCACTTTAGAACAATGTTTACTCAGCAAAACGTGTTGTGGAAAAGACTTCGGAGGATAGATTTTATGAGAAGTTGGAATGAAAGGCGACTTTGAAAAACAAGCAACAGATTATGAAGAGGATTGCCTATCCGACCCTTGTGCTATCATGAATTGTTGTAATCTTATTGACCTCTTTTGTTTTCAAGAGGGTATAGGAATATAAAGTTTGTTGAAAATTGATCATATAATAATTAAACATATAATTAATGATCATTTTGTATATTTTCAAATAAATAGCTTTTTTGTTATTTGCTTATTAGGAGTAAAAAATAGAGAGTTCTATTCATATCTAATTCTGTTAATACGATGCTAAAAACCAAAGAATTAAAGGTAATTTAATCCTCTTGCTTATTGATGCTCCTTTGCAACATTATCTCAAGAAGGTCAGGTTCCATATGGAGGGTACTACTTCCCTGACCCCTCCATCTTCTCCAAATTGATAGATGGCCTTTCCAACATCCAGTTCTGAATGAGCAGAAATTTCCTCCAAATATTGCGAAGACTGAAGCCATTGTCTTTGGTCTTCACCACAAACTTCATTCCCCATCCCTCTCCCAGGCAAATAGCTCAGGCTGAGCCAGACTATTTGCAAACTTAGAATCTGAGCAGAGCCTAAGGTTATCTTTGGGTCACAAGTCCATGTTGTCACTGAGTCTGCGTGTTTATAAATCAGTAAATCACCTGACTTAAGTCACCTCATCAGGTTCATCTGCTGATGAAACTGTGACTGATGCCTATATCACATCTAGGCTTGATTATTCCCATGCACTTCTATCTTCTGTTCCCCATAATCCTAAACTCAGCTAAATCTCTGCTGCCATGTTCTAACAAAGAGATCCTACAAATACGTTAAGAGTAAGAGAGCAACGAGAGAGAGACAGTTGGACCCCTTAAGGATCAAAGAGGTCCACCTCAAGATATAGACTTTGCATTGAAACTCAGGAGAAGGGAAAGATGTTAAATGAATATTTTGTGTCAATTTTTACTGTGGAGAAAGAAATGGAGGCTAGAGAGCTTGGAAATTAGTGTTGATGTTTCGAAAACAGTCCACATTACAGAAGAGGAAGTGCTAGAGGTCTTAGAAAATATAAAAGTTAGTAAATTTTTGGACCTCACCTAATGTATCGCAGGATGTTGTGGGAAGTTAAGGAGGAAATTATGGGGACCCTTGCAGAAATATTTGTGTCATCTGGAACTATATGGGGAGGTGATGGCCTAGTGATATTATTGCTGGATGGTTAATCCAGAGACCCCGATAATGTTCTGAGGACCTGAGTTCAAAACCTTCTACAGCAGATGGTGGAATTTGAATTCAATAAATATCTGGAATTAAGAATCTAGTGATGCCCATGAATCTATTGGTGATTGTCGGAAAAACCCAACTGGCTCACTGATGTCCTTCACAGAAGGAAACTGCCATCTTACCTGGTCTGGCCTACATGTGACTCCAGACCCACGGCAATGTGGTTGACTCTTAATTGCCCAGAGGGCAGTTAGGGATGGGGAATAAATGCTGGTATAGCTGGTGATGCCCTCACCCTGTGAATGAATAAAAAAAAGCGATGATGACATGCTGGATGACTGGAGAGTGGCTAATGTTGTACCTTTGTTTAAGAAGGGATGTAAGGAGAAGTCGGGAAGCTATAGACCTGTGAGTCTGACTTCGGTGCTGGGTAAGCTTTTGGAGGTGATTCTGTAAGATAGGATTTATATGCAGTCGGAGAGGCGAGGAATGATTAGGGATAGTCAGCATAGTTTTGTGCGGGAAATTGTGTCTCACAAACTTGATTCAGTTTTTTGAGGTAGTAACCAAGAAGATTGATGAGGGCAGAGCGGTGGACATTGTTTACTTGGACTTTAGTAAAGCCTTTGAGAAGGTTCTGAATGGTAGACTAATTAATAAAGTTATATCACATGGGATTCAGGGTGTGTTTGCCAGTTGGATGCAAAATTGGCTTAATGGCGGGAGACAGAGAGTGGTGGTAGAAAGTTGTTTTTCAGAACGGAGGCCTGTTACTGGCAGTGTTCCACAGAGGTTGGTACTGGATCCACTTCTGTTTGCCATTTATATAAATGATTTAGATGATAATTTAGAAGGCATGATTAGTAAGTTTGCGGATGCCACCAAAATTGGTGGTATGGTGGACGGTGAAGAAAGATAGCTAAGATTACAAAGAGATCTTGATCAATGGGGTCATTGGACTGAGGAGCAGCAGATGGAGTTTAATTTGAATAAATGTAAAGTATTACATTTTGGTAAAACAAACAAGGGCAGAACTTATTCAATTAAAAGTAGGCCCTTGGGTATTGCTGTGGAACAGAGAAACCAAGGGGTTCATGTACATATTTCCTTGAAGCTTTCATACAGGGTGCTTAAGAAGGCATTTGGCATGCTTGCCTTCATGGCTTAGACCTTTGAGTATAGGAGTCGGGACATCATCTTGAAGTTGTACAGGACATTGCTGAGTTCTCTTCTGGAGTATTATGTTCAGTTCTGATCACCCTGTTATAGGAAGGATATTATTAAGCTAGAGAGGAGTTAGAAAAGATTTACCAGGATGTTGCCAGGGTTGGAGGGTTTGAGTCATAAGGACAGACAGGACAGGCTGGGACCTTTTTCACTGGAGCGTAGGAGGTTGAAGGGTGACATTATTGGGGTTTATAAAATCATGATGAGTATAGATAAGGTGAATGGCAGGTGTCTTTTCCCAGTGGTGGGAGATTTCAAGACTAGGGGCATATTTTCAAGGTGAGAGGAAAAAGAAATTAAAAAGACACGAGGGGCAACTTTTTTACACAGAGAATGGTTTGTGTGTGGAGTGAACTTCCAGAGGAAGTGATGGATGTGGGTACAATTACAACTTTCAAAAGATATTTGGATAAGTACATGAATAAGAAATATTTGGAAGGATATGGGCCAAGCACAGGCAGGTGGGACTAGTTCAATTTGGGATTATGGTCAGCATAGACTGGTTGGACTGAAAGGTCTGTTTCCATGCTGCCAGTCTCTATGAGTCTGTAACTCACACCAAGTCCCATTCACCTGTCAACCTAATGAATACTGAGCGACATCACTTCCCTGATGATCAACACCTCGATGTTAAAATTCTCACTCTTGTTTTTATATCCTTCCATGGCCTTGCCCCTTTCTGATCTGTGCAATCTCCTGCAGCCTTTCAACGTTCAGGATACTTGCATTCCTCAAACCCTAATATCTTGTGCTCTGCCATTGGCAAACTAGCCCTCTTAGGAATTCCATCTCTGTGTCTCTCCAGTTTTCTAACACTCTCTCTTCGTTTAAGGCACTCCATAAAACCTTGCACGTTGACCAAGTTTTGATGGAGACGATGGACTAACTAGAATGAAATGATCTGTGAAGCACAATTAATGCAAAGAGATGGGGCATTACATATAGTGAAGATAAGGGTTCAATATTGGGACATGAATGACAATTGAAGACAGAGAAGTAAGCTTCCATAAATTATTGTGAAGAGATAGAAAATGTCTCCTAAAGGTTACATGGAATGGACATTGCACCTCCTTTGTACAGGACTCGGTTATGGAGAGGGAGAAGGGAGGGGAGATAAGTAAAGTAAAAAAAAGTAAACTTATTTCATTTTTTTAACTTCATTTTCCTCTCTTGAAGCTTGGTCAAAGCTGAAATGCTATTTTCACCATTCTGTATCCTAGTCTGTGGAAAATAGATTTGCACACAATGCACTTGATCCAAACTGAAAAACTGCTGTCATGCAATCTTAAATGTACTTACCATTTCATCAGTATCTTTCGCAAATGCAAAGTTGTCGGTTATGAAAGTTCTCTGTCTGTGTCCAAAGTTATCAAACTTGCACTGCTGTTTCCAAATGCAATGTAGTTGTTTGGTCACATGAGATTGAATGCAACCAGCTGTATTTCCTTCGTGGAACCAACTGCGAATTGTAACTCACTGCTAAGGTTTCACTTCTGCTCTGCTTCAGAAATAGCCATGAAATTGCACATATTCTCTGGTGACACTGATCTCCCAAGGCATTGCTACCCAGAATGAGACAAACAATTTGCTGTAACAGGTTAAAACAGTAACCAAACTGCAACTGGGATTGGTTGATGTAGATCATTCCCAGTTGGAGAAAATGGACTTTACTTTTTGCCAGTTCAGTCTGGTTGTCCCCAGTTGAGTCCAGTTGATATGATAACAGGGAAATATAGAGAATCACCTTAATATATGCATTTGGGAGCACCCTGGCTTTTAGGGGAGGCAATGGCTTAGTGGTATTATCTCTGGACTGTGAATTCAGAGACCCAGGTAACATTCTGTGAGCCTGGTTTCAAATCCTGACACAGCAGATGGTGGAATATTGAATTCAATAGAAACAAAATCTGAAATTAAGAGTCTACTGATGACCATGAAACTGTTGTTAATTGTCAGAAAAGCCATTTGCTTCACTAATGTCCTTTAGGGAAGGAAGTTGCTGTCCTTACCTGGTCTGGCCTACATGTGACTCCAGAAACACAGCAATGTGGTTGACTCTTAACTGCTCTCCGGGTAATTAGGGATGGGCAATAAATGCTGTCTAGCCAGCGACGCCCTCAACCCATGAATGAATACACAAAAAAAAAAGAGATTCTATCTCTTTGTTTAAGAAAGGAGATAATTGCACTGGAAGCTCATCAGAGAAGGTTCAACTGACAGACACCTGGGATGAGGGTGTTGTTCCGTGAGGAAAGTTTGGACAAGTTGCAGAACTGTATTTATTGTAATTTAGAAGAATAAGAAGCAATTTTGATGAAACATATAAGATCCTGGGGGGATTTGACAGAATGAATACAGTCAGAACATATCTCCTTGTTGGAGAGACTTAGAAATAGGGGACACAGTTTTAAAATAAGAGGTCTCTCTTTTAAAACAAAGGTATTTAGACACGCACTTACAATCCCAAGGCATACATGTTATGAGCCAAGTGCTGGAAAATGGAATTAAAATAGTTAGATAGTTGCTTTTTGATTGACAAAGACTCAATGGGCCACAGGACCTTCTTCTGTGCTGTCAACCTCTCTGACTCCACAAAGAGAAATCTTTACTCTCAGAGGATCATGCGTGTGAAACTCTCTTCCCCAGAGAGTGGTAGAGGCAGGGTCATTTGAATAATTTTAAGACAGAGATAGATCGATTCTTGATTCCATGGTTATAAAATAGAATAGAATAGCAATTTGTTGTCACTTGTATTTATAAAAACACAGTGAGATGTGTGTAAGTCACCACAGTTGGGTGCCGTTTTAATTATAGAAATACAAAAAGAAATAATTGAGACAAAGTTAGGACGGAGTTCGTCTTTTGTTCCCTCCATGGTGCCTGGGTTTACAAAGTGGCGATGGGACAACGCCTGAGGGTGGAATAACCAAGAGTTTCTGGACTGGACCCACTACACTGCCACCGCCTTGCTAGCCCCTTGCAATGGTCTTCCCTCCACCGCAGCCGCAAGAAAGGTGAAATTTGATACGACAGAGAAATGAAGAAATGGAGAAACAAGACAAAAAAAAACAAAGAAGAGTGCGACTGGACAGGTGAGTGGGAGCGTACAGGCACAGAGCCTGAACACCTCCCACTCTACCACTGCCACCATTTTGTGAGGTTATTGGAGGTACGTTACAATCGGATCAACTACAAGGGGCTGAATTACTGTCTGCTGCTCCTATTTCATATGTTTGCATGACATGTGCTTAATTGTGAAGAAACTAGTGAAAAATCTAGAAGAAAACTGACAGCGACTGTAAGTTCAAAAGTTTATTGGGAATAACAGACATGCAAATAAAAATAAAATATATTAACCATGATACAAATCAGATAAGCTTTATTCACATATCAAATAAATAATATGCACTTCAATTATACCACTTAAAGAATTTACACATTTTCAGCTGAGTTCATCTCAATCTAGCAATATTTGCTTTTGAATCAAAGCAGGGAGACAGAACTGGAGGAGAGAAGGACACATGGGAGAGAGAACTTTTGCACAACATATATACAGGGTGGTTAAGAAGGCATTTAACATCCTTGCCTTCATTGCTCAGACATTTGAGTATAGGAGTTGGGATGTTATGTTGAGGTTGTACAGGATGTTAGTGAGGTCTCTTCTGGAGTACTAATAGAATCACTACAGTGTGGAAACAGGCCCTTTGGCCCAACAAGTCCACACCGACCCTTAGAACATCCCACCCAGGCCCACTGTAACCCACACACCCCTGAACACTACAGGCAATTTAGCATGGCCAATCCACCTAGCCTGCACATCTTTGGACTGTGGGGGGAAACCAGAACACCCAGAGAAAACACATGCAGACACAGGACAAACGTGCAAACTCCGCACAGACAGTCGCCCGAGGGTGGAATTGAACCCGGGTCCCTGGTGCTGTGAGGCTGCAGTGCTAACCACTGACCCACCATGCTGCCCAAAAACTGTGTCCAGTTTTGGTTGCTCTGTTTCAGGAAGGATATTATTAAGCTAGAGAGGGTT